AAAAAAAGAGGACCGCCTGGCGCTGGCGCTGACGCCGGCTTTGCCAGGTGTAAAAACGGTTTAGCCGTGCGGCTATACTTTTATTATTATTAAAAATCCGCGTATAGCCACCCGCTGGGTTTCTTACGCTCATTTTGCCACGTGTCAAAAATAGTATAGCCGCTCGGCTATACTATTTTATCCGACCGGCTATACGCTTTTTAATTTAAAAAAAACCCCGCGTATAGCCGCGCGGCAGTACTATTTATAATAAAAAAGGACCACCCGCACGCCTGTATTGTTTACTGGGCCACCGCTTGTGTTGAATTATTCCTTCTCTATACTTTTAAATGATAATGACTATCATGAAGTAATGAGCTATACTACTGGTAATGTCCGTGAAGAATGTATCCAAGACAATGACATTATTCAGCTTATGCTGGTAATTGGTTTGATTTGTTTTCTTTTAGGTATGAGACGGGATGTTAATGTTTTGATCTATCTCGATGTCAGAAAAGCTTTAGAAGGTATGGTTATGCAAACTTTCATTATCGAAGTGTAAAGTTTTCTTTTAAGTTTGTCATGAGCACACCACCTTTTATTCTTCATTGAGGTAGTTGAGGAAACATAGAGGACTTCTTATGCGTGAAGTTTTGTTTATTTTCAATTTTTGTTGCAGAGGGAATGAAGTTTTACATTTCAGAGAACAAGGTAATCTTGACTGAAGGTTTTGATGGTGTTGTGCCAGTCAAGTACTTCGAGAAAATAGAATCGTGGCCCGATAGAAAGCCGATACCTTTCTGAACCTGCATCAGTTGGGGTGCAATCATTCCATTTCTTCTTTTCCTATTTTTTTTTATAGTTTTTATAGTTTTTTATTTATTTAAAGTTTTATGAAGAACGATCTCCTTTTCCTTTTTGATCCATTGGCTGGTCGTCTCAGCTTAATGAGATGTAATTTTTGTAACACACGTTAAGCTGGTCGTCGTAGTTAGCAATCAATGGAAATGAGACTGGCGCTTTTGATTTTCAGCTTGAATTGATGTTGTAGTATATTTATATCTACATTCCTAGAGAAGTACTTTTCTTGTGTAAATGAAAGTACAATGTGAAATAACCAAATCAATTTTAATGGAAGAAAGGTCTTGCAAGTCGATGTTTGTTATTGCCTTGCTTTAGTGACTGCAAAATGTCATGATTTTTGGGTTTTTGCCAATGCTGTGCCTGAAAGCATTTTTTAAATCCTCTGTTGAGAAAAACTCCTAGATCGGACAAAATTACAGAAGAAAGACTTTGAAAACTAACTTGTAGGAGCTTCTCTGTTGAAAAAAACTCCTCCAAAAATTGGCGTATGCCACCAATTGCGGCGAGCACACGGTATTCTTTAGTAAAAGGCGAAAGAATAGTTCGCTCTGTGCCCACCGCGTGGCTGCGTGGTTTCAAATGTCCCATTTCTTCTATTTTTATAGCTGCTCTCATTCTGATGCTTTTGCTTCTTTTTCCATGTGGGATTTTTGAGAAACAGAAAAAAGGCTTTTTCCCATTTTCATAGATTGCCCTCCAACAAGTTAATTCATGAAGCTGGAAAATACTCCAACAAAAATTTAATGCTTCAAAATGTTATGTGTAGGACAGAGCTAAGCAATTGAAAAAAAAGAAAAGGAAGATGCTAAGCAAGCTTGGATGTCATTTGTCATTTGTTCTAGCTAGTGATTGAAAAATGATAAATAATTAGGCAAACTCTAGACTTTAACGTGAATTAGAACTCCATCGTGAATTAAAAAATGACACCTTGCTCGTGTTTACAGAAAAATGAATGTTGTAGCTCACTGTATGGCTAATTGGAGCTTTAACTTGGATTTGGGGGTTAGCTATTTGGATGAGGCCCCGTCTTGGGTTAGCTCCTTTATGGAGGATGATTTTTTAGCCTCGCCTAGTTTGTTCTAGTTAGTTGTTGGTTCTTTTTGGGGTTTGTCCTCCCTATCTCATCGAAAAAAAAAAAAACTCCATCGTGAATTAAAACTCTAGACTTTGTTTTTGAGAAACGGAAAAAAGGCTTTCCCAATTTCTTAGATTGCCCTCCAACAAATTAAAAGCTTCTTAACAAAATATGGCTGAGAAAAAAACAAAGATGCTTCATGATAGATATATAGATATATAGATATATATATATATATATATGTGGTATGGCCGCGCGGCTATACTGTTTGTTAAAAAAGAAAAAACTAGCGCCAGCTTCGCCAGGATTATAAAAATCCGACTATAGCCGCTCGGCTATACTATTTATAAAAGAAAAAAAAAAGAGGACCGCCTGGCGCTGGCGCTGACGCCGGCTTTGCCAGGTGTAAAAACGGTTTAGCCGTGCGGCTATACTTTTATTATTATTAAAAATCCGCGTATAGCCACCCGCTGGGTTTCTTACGCTCATTTTGCCACGTGTCAAAAATAGTATAGCCGCTCGGCTATACTATTTTATCCGACCGGCTATACGCTTTTTAATTTAAAAAAAACCCCGCGTATAGCCGCGCGGCAGTACTATTTATAATAAAAAAGGACCACCCGCACGCCTGTATTGTTTACTGGGCCACCGCTTGTGTTGAATTATTCCTTCTCTATACTTTTAAATGATAATGACTATCATGAAGTAATGAGCTATACTACTGGTAATGTCCGTGAAGAATGTATCCAAGACAATGACATTATTCAGCTTATGCTGGTAATTGGTTTGATTTGTTTTCTTTTAGGTATGAGACGGGATGTTAATGTTTTGATCTATCTCGATGTCAGAAAAGCTTTAGAAGGTATGGTTATGCAAACTTTCATTATCGAAGTGTAAAGTTTTCTTTTAAGTTTGTCATGAGCACACCACCTTTTATTCTTCATTGAGGTAGTTGAGGAAACATAGAGGACTTCTTATGCGTGAAGTTTTGTTTATTTTCAATTTTTGTTGCAGAGGGAATGAAGTTTTACATTTCAGAGAACAAGGTAATCTTGACTGAAGGTTTTGATGGTGTTGTGCCAGTCAAGTACTTCGAGAAAATAGAATCGTGGCCCGATAGAAAGCCGATACCTTTCTGAACCTGCATCAGTTGGGGTGCAATCATTCCATTTCTTCTTTTCCTATTTTTTTTTATAGTTTTTATAGTTTTTTATTTATTTAAAGTTTTATGAAGAACGATCTCCTTTTCCTTTTTGATCCATTGGCTGGTCGTCTCAGCTTAATGAGATGTAATTTTTGTAACACACGTTAAGCTGGTCGTCGTAGTTAGCAATCAATGGAAATGAGACTGGCGCTTTTGATTTTCAGCTTGAATTGATGTTGTAGTATATTTATATCTACATTCCTAGAGAAGTACTTTTCTTGTGTAAATGAAAGTACAATGTGAAATAACCAAATCAATTTTAATGGAAGAAAGGTCTTGCAAGTCGATGTTTGTTATTGCCTTGCTTTAGTGACTGCAAAATGTCATGATTTTTGGGTTTTTGCCAATGCTGTGCCTGAAAGCATTTTTTAAATCCTCTGTTGAGAAAAACTCCTAGATCGGACAAAATTACAGAAGAAAGACTTTGAAAACTAACTTGTAGGAGCTTCTCTGTTGAAAAAAACTCCTCCAAAAATTGGCGTATGCCACCAATTGCGGCGAGCACACGGTATTCTTTAGTAAAAGGCGAAAGAATAGTTCGCTCTGTGCCCACCGCGTGGCTGCGTGGTTTCAAATGTCCCATTTCTTCTATTTTTATAGCTGCTCTCATTCTGATGCTTTTGCTTCTTTTTCCATGTGGGATTTTTGAGAAACAGAAAAAAGGCTTTTTCCCATTTTCATAGATTGCCCTCCAACAAGTTAATTCATGAAGCTGGAAAATACTCCAACAAAAATTTAATGCTTCAAAATGTTATGTGTAGGACAGAGCTAAGCAATTGAAAAAAAAGAAAAGGAAGATGCTAAGCAAGCTTGGATGTCATTTGTCATTTGTTCTAGCTAGTGATTGAAAAATGATAAATAATTAGGCAAACTCTAGACTTTAACGTGAATTAGAACTCCATCGTGAATTAAAAAATGACACCTTGCTCGTGTTTACAGAAAAATGAATGTTGTAGCTCACTGTATGGCTAATTGGAGCTTTAACTTGGATTTGGGGGTTAGCTATTTGGATGAGGCCCCGTCTTGGGTTAGCTCCTTTATGGAGGATGATTTTTTAGCCTCGCCTAGTTTGTTCTAGTTAGTTGTTGGTTCTTTTTGGGGTTTGTCCTCCCTATCTCATCGAAAAAAAAAAAAACTCCATCGTGAATTAAAACTCTAGACTTTGTTTTTGAGAAACGGAAAAAAGGCTTTCCCAATTTCTTAGATTGCCCTCCAACAAATTAAAAGCTTCTTAACAAAATATGGCTGAGAAAAAAACAAAGATGCTTCATGATAGATATATAGATATATAGATATATATATATATATATATGTGGTATGGCCGCGCGGCTATACTGTTTGTTAAAAAAGAAAAAACTAGCGCCAGCTTCGCCAGGATTATAAAAATCCGACTATAGCCGCTCGGCTATACTATTTATAAAAGAAAAAAAAAAGAGGACCGCCTGGCGCTGGCGCTGACGCCGGCTTTGCCAGGTGTAAAAACGGTTTAGCCGTGCGGCTATACTTTTATTATTATTAAAAATCCGCGTATAGCCACCCGCTGGGTTTCTTACGCTCATTTTGCCACGTGTCAAAAATAGTATAGCCGCTCGGCTATACTATTTTATCCGACCGGCTATACGCTTTTTAATTTAAAAAAAACCCCGCGTATAGCCGCGCGGCAGTACTATTTATAATAAAAAAGGACCACCCGCACGCCTGTATTGTTTACTGGGCCACCGCTTGTGTTGAATTATTCCTTCTCTATACTTTTAAATGATAATGACTATCATGAAGTAATGAGCTATACTACTGGTAATGTCCGTGAAGAATGTATCCAAGACAATGACATTATTCAGCTTATGCTGGTAATTGGTTTGATTTGTTTTCTTTTAGGTATGAGACGGGATGTTAATGTTTTGATCTATCTCGATGTCAGAAAAGCTTTAGAAGGTATGGTTATGCAAACTTTCATTATCGAAGTGTAAAGTTTTCTTTTAAGTTTGTCATGAGCACACCACCTTTTATTCTTCATTGAGGTAGTTGAGGAAACATAGAGGACTTCTTATGCGTGAAGTTTTGTTTATTTTCAATTTTTGTTGCAGAGGGAATGAAGTTTTACATTTCAGAGAACAAGGTAATCTTGACTGAAGGTTTTGATGGTGTTGTGCCAGTCAAGTACTTCGAGAAAATAGAATCGTGGCCCGATAGAAAGCCGATACCTTTCTGAACCTGCATCAGTTGGGGTGCAATCATTCCATTTCTTCTTTTCCTATTTTTTTTTATAGTTTTTATAGTTTTTTATTTATTTAAAGTTTTATGAAGAACGATCTCCTTTTCCTTTTTGATCCATTGGCTGGTCGTCTCAGCTTAATGAGATGTAATTTTTGTAACACACGTTAAGCTGGTCGTCGTAGTTAGCAATCAATGGAAATGAGACTGGCGCTTTTGATTTTCAGCTTGAATTGATGTTGTAGTATATTTATATCTACATTCCTAGAGAAGTACTTTTCTTGTGTAAATGAAAGTACAATGTGAAATAACCAAATCAATTTTAATGGAAGAAAGGTCTTGCAAGTCGATGTTTGTTATTGCCTTGCTTTAGTGACTGCAAAATGTCATGATTTTTGGGTTTTTGCCAATGCTGTGCCTGAAAGCATTTTTTAAATCCTCTGTTGAGAAAAACTCCTAGATCGGACAAAATTACAGAAGAAAGACTTTGAAAACTAACTTGTAGGAGCTTCTCTGTTGAAAAAAACTCCTCCAAAAATTGGCGTATGCCACCAATTGCGGCGAGCACACGGTATTCTTTAGTAAAAGGCGAAAGAATAGTTCGCTCTGTGCCCACCGCGTGGCTGCGTGGTTTCAAATGTCCCATTTCTTCTATTTTTATAGCTGCTCTCATTCTGATGCTTTTGCTTCTTTTTCCATGTGGGATTTTTGAGAAACAGAAAAAAGGCTTTTTCCCATTTTCATAGATTGCCCTCCAACAAGTTAATTCATGAAGCTGGAAAATACTCCAACAAAAATTTAATGCTTCAAAATGTTATGTGTAGGACAGAGCTAAGCAATTGAAAAAAAAGAAAAGGAAGATGCTAAGCAAGCTTGGATGTCATTTGTCATTTGTTCTAGCTAGTGATTGAAAAATGATAAATAATTAGGCAAACTCTAGACTTTAACGTGAATTAGAACTCCATCGTGAATTAAAAAATGACACCTTGCTCGTGTTTACAGAAAAATGAATGTTGTAGCTCACTGTATGGCTAATTGGAGCTTTAACTTGGATTTGGGGGTTAGCTATTTGGATGAGGCCCCGTCTTGGGTTAGCTCCTTTATGGAGGATGATTTTTTAGCCTCGCCTAGTTTGTTCTAGTTAGTTGTTGGTTCTTTTTGGGGTTTGTCCTCCCTATCTCATCGAAAAAAAAAAAAACTCCATCGTGAATTAAAACTCTAGACTTTGTTTTTGAGAAACGGAAAAAAGGCTTTCCCAATTTCTTAGATTGCCCTCCAACAAATTAAAAGCTTCTTAACAAAATATGGCTGAGAAAAAAACAAAGATGCTTCATGATAGATATATAGATATATAGATATATATATATATATATATGTGGTATGGCCGCGCGGCTATACTGTTTGTTAAAAAAGAAAAAACTAGCGCCAGCTTCGCCAGGATTATAAAAATCCGACTATAGCCGCTCGGCTATACTATTTATAAAAGAAAAAAAAAAGAGGACCGCCTGGCGCTGGCGCTGACGCCGGCTTTGCCAGGTGTAAAAACGGTTTAGCCGTGCGGCTATACTTTTATTATTATTAAAAATCCGCGTATAGCCACCCGCTGGGTTTCTTACGCTCATTTTGCCACGTGTCAAAAATAGTATAGCCGCTCGGCTATACTATTTTATCCGACCGGCTATACGCTTTTTAATTTAAAAAAAACCCCGCGTATAGCCGCGCGGCAGTACTATTTATAATAAAAAAGGACCACCCGCACGCCTGTATTGTTTACTGGGCCACCGCTTGTGTTGAATTATTCCTTCTCTATACTTTTAAATGATAATGACTATCATGAAGTAATGAGCTATACTACTGGTAATGTCCGTGAAGAATGTATCCAAGACAATGACATTATTCAGCTTATGCTGGTAATTGGTTTGATTTGTTTTCTTTTAGGTATGAGACGGGATGTTAATGTTTTGATCTATCTCGATGTCAGAAAAGCTTTAGAAGGTATGGTTATGCAAACTTTCATTATCGAAGTGTAAAGTTTTCTTTTAAGTTTGTCATGAGCACACCACCTTTTATTCTTCATTGAGGTAGTTGAGGAAACATAGAGGACTTCTTATGCGTGAAGTTTTGTTTATTTTCAATTTTTGTTGCAGAGGGAATGAAGTTTTACATTTCAGAGAACAAGGTAATCTTGACTGAAGGTTTTGATGGTGTTGTGCCAGTCAAGTACTTCAAGAAAATAGAATCGTGGCCCGATAGAAAGCTGATTACCTTTCTGAACCAGGATCGGTTGCGACACAATCATTCCATTTCTCCTTTTCGTTTTTGACCCGTTGGCTGGCTGCCCCAGCTTAATGAAATGTAACAGTTCTCCCTTTTTGCAACACATGTTAAGCTGGTCGTAGTAGTTAGCAATTCCCTTACCAATGGAAATGAGATTGGGGCTTTCAGTGTTCAGCTTGAATTGATGTTGTAGTGATATCTTTATATCTAATGGAAGTATTATTGAGAATATGAGATGACCAAATCAATTTTAATGGAAGAAAGGTCTTGCAAGTCCATCTTTCTTGCGCGTCTGTATTGTTTACTGGGCCACCGCTTGTATTGGAAAACAATGCTTGGAAACTAAATTGTAAGAGCTCCTCTGTTCAGAGAAACTCCTCAAAAAACTGGCGTATGCCACTAATTGCGGCGGGCACACGGTATTCTTTAGTAAAAGGCGAAAGAATAGTTCGCTCTGTGTCCACCGCGTGGCTGCGTGGTTTGCAATGTTGATGATGTCTCCTTTTAGACGCGTACTGGCAAGGACTCTTTACCTATCTTCCGATGTGGGATAACTTTGGCTAATGGATGATGATTTTCATTTGAGAATTGAGGTCGTCGCACATACTAAGGCCGTCAAGCACAAGTTTCAATCAAAACATTGCATTGTTTATGATAATGATCTAGTGGTTTTTCTCTCAAACTTTTGTGACATACAGAAATTACTAGTTAAGCAATTTGACTTGCAATGCTGAATTGCCTGATCTATAAGATTCTCTCTCTTTGATATGTTGGAGGGTTTCTGCCAAACCTGCACTGCTTGGTTGGTGCACTGGAAAAGGAAGTATGCACAGAATCTCTTTGTGGTACTACGAGTTGCCGGTCTGAATATCGAAAGGAAATAGAATCTACTTCCGATGTCTGCCACTTGGAGAGGCCTTCCCTTGATTGGAAGGTCTGGTTCTTGTGCTTTGTCATTTCTTCATCATGGTGGTGCAAGAAACAGACTTCTTATGCCTACCTCGTTTCTGCTGAATGCTTTAGTCATAGCTTTATATCTAAAAGTTGCTAGAAAAGTACTTGTGTGTATAATGAAAGTTCTTTATAATCTGATCGAATCGAAACTAACGGAAGTATTCTTGATCATGAAAGTCCCAGCCTTCTCTGCATATAGCCTTTATTGAAATGACTTCTGCAATAATTTTGAAAAATATTAAGATTTAAGGTGGATGAGAGATGAGAAAAAGAAAAAAAAAACCGTTGATATAAAAAATTGGCATGTGCCGCTAATTGAGTGGTTCATGGAAAGAATCTGAGACTAAATCTTCAAATGATTTTGCTTATAGACAACGTCAACCAATCTCGGGATCCATATGGGTGACATGTTAACAATTATATGCAAAACTATTTTGGGGATTTATTATTTAATGATTACATCTTCACAATACACTTACTCTACACATAGAGATGATGAAGATAGTGAAAAATTTAAACCTTATAGGAACTCTATGTGGTACTAAATCACTCATGTATCTTACGATACAATGTATAAAGTGTAAAATATTATAGTAAATCATTATATATAAATGATTATGGTGCGTTTAATCTTCTTTCATTAATTACTACATATTTTCTATACTCACAGTGTTTGTCAGCTTGCTGTATAATCAATTTAAATTAGTTAAACACATCATACAATGCATTTTCTTCCAATTTTTTGTGATAAACTAATAGATAATTGACTAAATAAACATCCTTCAAAGTTTCAATAAAAATTTCCAAGTTTTTCTTACAATTTCCGTGGTTTTTATTCAATTTTTATCGATATTGATAATATCCCGATACTTCCATCGAAATTCCCGTGTTTTTGAACTATCTATATTTCCGATACCATCAATATTTTAGACATTGTGTAATCCCTATATTCTACTTTTATGCACTGGTGTCTATGATATCCTGAATGATTAGACCTTGATCGAGCTTAAAATGCCCAGATCGGACTAGCAAATGGCAGATCAGACTAAAAAGTATGTAGACTGTTTTCTGGTTTTTCTAGTCCAATATGAATAGATACAATCCATTATAATTGAAGATTTCTCGATTCAATCCATTATAAATAAAAATTTATAAGAAAACTGCTGATAAATTGATAAACTGACGAACTGATAAGCTGATATTGAGGGAAAATAAACTAGCGTAGCAAATAGGAATCGATACCAAGTGTTGTCAGAGCGATAAACTAAAAATATAACTCAGGAGTATAAAAATACAATGCGAAATGACTAATCCATATTTGTTATTGCCTTGTTTAAGTGACTAATCCATAGTAAATTGCAAAATGTCATGATTTTTGGGTTTTTGCCAATACTGTGCCTAAAAGCATTTCGCAATTCTAACTCTGTGTTAGACTTGGTTTCGAAATTATGTCTTAAATCCTCTGCAGGCTACTAAAAATTAACAGAAGAAAAACTTTGAAACTAATCTGTAGAAGCTTCTCTGTTGAGTTTCAGATAGAATATGAAGATAATAAGAAAGCAGAGCCCTGGGACCTATAGGAAGAATTTGGATACCTGGTTGTTTTCTTTACCCTTTTTCTTTCCCCTTGATGTGCAGTGCAGTATGCGTGCATGGGACCTATATGGGAAGAATTTCGAATCAATTTTAGAGTCTGATCTAAAGAGCATGAATCGATTGCATGTTCACTTCTCACGAGGATTGCCAACTGATGGGCAACTGATTAGCGGTAATGTGTTTGATTAGGGCTATTTATAAGTGTAGAATTTTTTATATTCACCACCCTGTCTTATGTAAAGAGTACAGCCATTCATAAAATATATTTATTTTTTTTTTTTTAAAAAAAACAGACCTCCGTAAAGCCGAACGCGGCTATACTCTTTTTTATAATTTAAAAACACCGGGTATCGCCGGGCTTTTAATAAAACACCGGGTGTAACCTATACTATTTGTAAAAAAAAAT